ACTCAATCTTTGCACATTTGATTGCAGGAATTGTTTAAAGCTTTCTGGTGATGATGCCCCAACTGTATAACTCAAATAACTGGATAAAATCTCAACCATAGCCAGACGCGTTTTCCTGTCCCTGGAGACATGTTCACAGTCACTGGTGACTAAACTAATGTTTTCTGAAAAGTCTGCAAGAGACGTTATCACCAGTTTGATTTACGTTGCGTGATGTTGAGTTCAGGTGGTTTCCGAGAAAATATCAGTCAGTGAGTAGAAAATAATGGAAGGAAGCGTCCCTTCATGACATCCGTTCCTCACACGCACAACATGTTTTCACTCTGATTACCGTTAGATGAACCATCGCCCTTTGTTGTGTTTGACAGATTCGTTCTATTTATGGGTAGCAGCAACCACCGACAACTCCTAATGACTCTTAATGGCTGGGCATTCACAGCTGGACTGCGAGCCATCGTTACATGAATCAGTTGACAGCGTTAAAGGAGGAAAAGCTATGCAAGGATAGATCCTGTTATATGTGTAGCACTTGGAGAATTGTTTGAACTCAAGTCGAGGGAAAACCAAGGGATGGAATAGAGTAAATGTCTTTGCCATGTTGTGACTAGTAATTTACTCCTAAAAATGTTTTGTATGGACTGATACACTTCGACATTTAAATATTTTGGGTGTCATTTCAATATATGTTGATCTCCCACATTATAAGTTCACCTTTGTAAAGGGAGTAAAGACTTGAGCTTTGTAATATAGGTAACTGTGTTTTGAAGTTCTTGGTTTTAATGGCTTCACAATTGCAAAATTCATTTTCGCAGAGTTATGTTTTTCCATAATGTACATGTTAGACGGGCGACAAACAAAGCTAAAATCCCTGAGCCTGCAAAGAGCAGATTGCTGAAAACAATTTTTAAAAATCAAGTGTATGCATACATATTCAATTGGGTAAATTTGAAACTGCAATACAATACGTTATGCGTAAGATACTCTTGTAGAAAATTTGTGCTTGATATTTAGACCACACCATTTTTTTTTTCAGAAAAAATATAAAGCGACAGGGCAAAATACAAACACCCATGATAACCGGAAATGTTACAATATGAGCCATGAAGTTAACATACCGGGGTGGTTTATAATTAAAACAATAGATGTTTAGCTTTTAATGAACCAAAATTACATTCTTACATTGAAAAAGTTTAACAGCTAGGAAGAAAAGGACTTTCTTCAACCGTTGGGGCCAAAATATGTCTTTCATTGAGCATTTTGCAGTTGATTTAGAAGAATGTTTTTTTTTTTTGCAAATCAGAAAAAAAGGACAGGGCGAATCCGAGAAACAACAAATTAAATTGGTGTGGCCTTATGATGACATATCTGGCAGAAGTCAGTGATGCATAAGAAATGTTCCCATAAACAGCACGAAGCAATCGGCTCCGACACTATCTTTACTACCTCAGTCACACGTTATCAACTTTTGGCATTCATAATCGTCATAAAAAAATAAGTACCTAATAAATTGTGGTATCTTTTATATTTCCAGATATTGGATATCACTTGCAAAGACGATGCTACATATGATGAGTGTATTAGCGATAGGATATGATGGGAAGTGCTGTCTTTGTATATATAAATTTAAGGCGAGCTATAAAGCAATTTTCCTGAGAAGCAAATTTCCTCTATTCGTCATACTAACTTCTCGCAACAATTTAGTTTTAGCTTTATTATCCTTTTTACTTGTGTGAATAAACTTAAAACAAAGAAAAAGTTATGTAGTTAAAAAAAGTTTTGCCCGCTTTAACCAAAGTTTCACCAGCTCAGGATCTTTGTTCACCATACTGAAAAAAATGCCCGGTCAATCCATTTTATTCACACCGTAGAAATCTATATGCAAGCGTGATATGTACGAGCACACTTCATAAAGTCATCTTATTATACTTGTTCTTGGGCTGGACTTAGGCACACCTAAATGGTTTTTCGGGGACGCTTGGGATATGATATTGTACATTCATGAAGACTTATTTAGGTGTGTCTAAAACCCACCGAAGAACCAATACAATAAATGAGCTAGACGTGTGTGCAGGTAACCTGAAAAGTGACCTCTACTGCTTAAAGTTATCTCCGGAATATTGATAATTCAAACGTTATCATTAAGATGAAAGGAAAAGTTTGTCTACGTGCTCCTTACACCAATGGTTGATTATCATGCCATGTTGCGCTTCACTTAAAGTATGAAAAATTCAATTCCATCTCATAGGTGAATTTTCTTACCTACGACCAATATATACAAGTTATGTTCAGTAGAAGGTGATGGAATAGGTTTAACAATGCGTAACCATTTTCTGGAATATGGATGACATCTCAGTGATCACAAGGCCTTGGTGTTCAAGTTTCCTGGTCAAATTGATATTTCGCAGGCGGACGCCGTTCAGCAACATTTACCCCCCCTGCTTCAAACCTGTGGAAAATAATGTCGGCCCATCAAAGATTCATTCAACTCCTGAGACTATCAGGTCGAGAAGTCACCATTTTGCCGCTGTGCTCATTCCTCGTAATCTATAATTCGCGTAAAAGAGCGGGATATGGCGGTACATAATCTTTATGAAATTTTCATGGAGCCATAGTTTACAGGCCTAACATGTGATTACAGCACCACGGTGGAACGACACGGGTATTTGTCATGGCAAGACCGCGTCTATATCATGATCAGACGAGGGGATTGATAGTTAAGATGTTACAAGCAAAGCCGATACACATCATTGACAGTTTGGGCGGTGGCAAAGTGTGGTGTACATGCACATGGGTGTTTTTTCGAGAGTTGTGTTAACGGTGACCACCATCGGGACATATAGCAGAGTTAAACTACAAACAGCTATGTGTTAAATAGAAGAACTTTATTGCACGACAATTGCACATGGTACAATGTATGGCAAACGACATAAAGAGAGTAACAACAATAAAATAAGTGTGTTGAACAAGACCTAATGTCGAATGAAACCTTACAAATCTATATCATAATTGTTCAAATAGTAAGGGAATATTAGCACAAGTCTTTGATGAAGTGTTACAATCGAGTGGGCTAATCAAATGTTTCGAGTTTTTTCTAATAACAAAGCATTCCTTTATATATCTACCTATTTTTGCGTTGTGGGGACCATTACATGTAAAGATATGTTAAATATGTGTGTATGATTTAAAGTTTTATACAGATCTGTTTGTACAATCTCTGTCATTCTCTTTTTCAGGATTTTGCCGGTCCAAAAAAAAAAAACACTGCGATGGAGGTTGAACGTCGTCCTGCACTGATGCCACGTGTCTATTGCATAGTACAGATTCCATAGTACTAAGAACTGACATTAGTATCTGGTCAAAACATCATCGGAACAGATCAGACTGATTCTTACCAAAACATTACACCTCTAAACCTGCTCGGTGTTTGATTCGACAATGAATTTCACAAATTTCACCAATGAAACGGATTTCCCACGTTTTAACACGTTTAACTATGAGGCACCAATCACGGCCCTTCTTATCGTCAGCTTCGCGCTGGTGTTTCTGCTGTGTATCATCGGCAACAGTATTGTGTGCATTGTGATTATAAGGACGCCAAAACTCAGGTTATCGTCGCCATTTTGTTTTTCTTTTATAATTATTGGTCCATTGCGTTTTTACTCAATACCAAAGACTATACAATGATCTTCAGTGTTTTGTTCTTTTAAAAATATATATAAATATCCCTTGTAAACCTCAAGCACTTTATTTCAAGGATTCCTCGACGATGAAGACTTATGCATGCTTGTCTAACTTCAGACTGTCGTATTCATGTTTAGTTTATGTTATTATGTGCTTGTATTAATCGATAATTTTGTGAGATTACTTAATGCACATACTTATTGCTACCATGTAGCAAATATTGTCATCTGCGATAATCCCATTTCTATATGCATTATAATCATACAGGACTGTTACCAACTACTTCATTTTGAACCTGGCCGTGAGTGATCTGCTCGCTGCAATCTTCTGCACACCATTCACACTGGTGCACCACGTGCTGACAGGTATGCATTAGACCACAGCAAGTAAATTTTATGGATGACATCCTCAACAGATTCCAAATCTAATGCGAGCGGGCGAAAAAAAGGCGGGCCGAAAAAAAACAAGGTTCTTACATTTTGAAATGTTGACTCAACCATTGTACAAATGGTTTTGATTCAGTGGGAACATTATATATACACAGTCAATATCACATATCACTGCATCAAAGTAAGCAAACAAAACATGAAAGCTAAGCCTTTTCTTGTCTCCTCTCTTCGTAGGTATCTGCCATCCACCTTCCGACATGGCAACAGACATCTTTGCCCATTTTCGGCATGTTTACCACTGTCAGAAAGCAACAAAATTTCTTGTTTTTTTTCCAAAATCAGGCGAAAATTAATGCGCGCGCTGATGTCATCCATAAAAATTACTTGCTGTGGCCTTAAGAAATCTCTTGTAAGAGCCACTTTCAGTAGATTCAGTTTTTAATTGATGTTTTTGTAAATAATGTATTATATATCTTGTATTGTACAATGTTTGATTTTTAATGTATTATATTTGATGTTTAATGTATAATATTTCATGTTAATGATGTTCATTATTGCAATTTGTTTTGTATTCAATATTTTAATATGTATTATCTGTATTTATATTGTGCATGTTGTGTTTGGGAGGACAACTTGTAAAGGTGTCAATGCACCTGTTTTGTCCTCCCTTCCACTTGTATATCTGGTGGTTAACTCAAATAAACACATAAACAAACAGATAAACAATTGTAAACAATTGTAGAAAATGGTGTGTGATAACTTTGTTCCAACATTCTGGTATTCAATATAATTTCACTCACATGAATTTCATGAAAATACTCATTGGGTGCACAAATGCAATCGTTGAATACTGAATCCTGAATTCCAGGGAATACTGTTTCTTTTAGGCATGTTTAAAAATAATGGCTTTAATAAATGTTTGCCCATAGAATACCCGTTTGGTGAAGTGATGTGTAAGCTGACTCCACTGGTACAAGGGATCTCTGTCGCCGCGTCTGTCTTCACCTTACTCGCTATTGCATATGACAGGTACCAAACATTTCTAATGGATTTTTTTTTTGTCATTTGAATCGCTTGATTGTGGAATCTATAAGTGTTTTATCAAATGAGACGCCAAAGCTATCAATGAATGAATGAATGAAGACCTTTATTGTACATTTGTAGTCTACAGAACTAAGTACAGGTCGCATGGGTACAGAAGACGAACATAAAAAATATACATTACATACATATGAATATAAGTGTAAATAAATGTCTAATTTCTATTCTTTTCGGCATTCATCTCGCTTAGTAGTGATTGTATGGATATATGCGGCTGTGTGATTACTTAGAGTATGTTTATCAAAAGTTAAAAGGAATACAAATTTCTCTTTACTAGTCAAATATCTGAAGTGGGGAAATATACTTAATACATGGCTAAAAATATGAGTCTATCTCTACTATACAAGGGGCAATCTATGGTGAATACTCTTATATTAATACACTTGTCAAAGTTTCTTCATTGTGTACTTTAAAAACATTCACAAGAATCCAGCTAAGTTCCGATAAGATAGATTTGTCGACCGGTCATTTACAACAGAGGTCTGTGGGCAAGCAATTAAGGTCCAATGGTTGATTATTTATAAGCTTCTATAAATTCTAAGGCCCCTGGGCGCGCTCATTTATCACACGGTAGTGGTCCATTACACGGTATGATTCTCTTCATATATATCTATAAAAAATTGATTTATATTGATATATATATATAAAGAGAGGGAGAGATACGTCAAAAAGCAGTTACTCAAGCAACTGGGGAAAATAGCTGAGGAGTAGCCGTTGGCACTAGGTCGGCAATGTTCTTTGTATCTTACTTTGAGCGGTCGACTTGTCTCTCCGATGTAGGTGTTGTTACAATTGGGCTCCTCACATTTGAGTCTGTAAAAAATAATAGGCTTGGTACCTTTGTGAGGTCGGTCCTTAGGGTGTACCAGCCTTTGTCTGAGGGTTGAGTGAGGTTTGAAGTTAGTGGCTATGTTGAAGTTTTGGAAGACCCGTCGGAGTTTCTCAGATACTACTTGGACATACGGAAT